CTGCTGCTGCCGCCCGCTTCCTCACAGCTGTCAAAATGCACTTGAGGAAATCCACTCACACCTCCCCGAGCAAGGGTCTCCTCGGCGGGACGTGACACCGCGCCGCAGGACCATGGCTCCACGGCTACGCACGGGCAGGCACGTCCTGACACCCCCGGGCAGCCCCCGGGCAGCCCCGGCCTCCCCCGCTTTTGTCTCAGGCCCACGGGGTTTGTGTGTGCTGGGGCTGAGCCGTGCGAAGTTTTATTTGAATTATTTTATCCTTCCGGAGGGTTTGACATCGCAACGTCTTTTTTTTTTTTTTTTTTTTTTTTTTTTTTTTTTTTTTTTTTTTTTTTTTTTTTTCTTTTTTTTCTTTTATTTATTTATTTTTTTTTTTAAGGTTGAAATTCTTAACGGTGGTGCCAAGCTCGTGTGGAAATTCCCTTTTATCAACATGCTGCTGCCTTCGGAACTGCAACTTGCAGCTTTCCTCCGAGGAGCTGCCTGTGCCAGTGCGGATGTCTGCAAAGCCCCCGTGCCCCTGGGATGGGCTCTGCCCTTTCTGACAGCAGGGCTATTAAAGGAATAGGTTTTTCTTCTTCATTTGTACCTCTCCCGGAGTGCCCGGCCCTTCTTTTGTCCTTGTTCTCTTCCTATTTATACTGCTGAAGAGTTTTGCTCTTTAATTGCCTTTGCTAGGTCTAGCTTAGCTCGAGTGTTCAAAGACCAGGGGCTGAATGAGTTGAACTCAGGCAGGAGAATTTAAGGGGTAGCAGTTTTTATCTGTTGCAGGAGGTAACAGCCACTGCACTGCTCCTAACCAGCAAGTTAGTTTTATATTTTTATAAAATATTATTTTTTTCCCCTGGTGCCTGGCAAATGATGTTTCTCCTAACGCCGTTTCCCTGCTGCTTTCAGACTGATGTCCTTCTGCAGCCATTCCTCATCGACCTTTCTGCCTCTTTTTAAAGTTACAATTTTTGGATGTGTTTCGCCCCGTTGACTTTTGAGTTCTGTGCAGTCTCCATCCTCCAGACCCCACGTTCCTCCCTCTGCTCGATTTCTCTGCTCAGGTCTCCTAATTTCTCAGAGCGTGTCCTTTGAACCCCTCAGCCCTGGCTGCCGTGGTGGGCTGCTCCTGCTTTTCAGCCCATATTTTATTAATCAAGGTTATTTTAACGTCTTTTCCTTACCAAAACCGTGCCTAAAATAGCCTCTCCTGGTGTCACTTTGGGGAGGAAATCTGCTGGCTGTCAGCACGTTGAGCATTCCCCATCTCCTGCTCAGCACGCAGGGCTGGGCAGCGGGTGCCACTCAGAGCTGCGTGATTTTTCCCTGCTTTTCTCTCTCCTCAGGGTGCTCTTGGGATTAGAGGAGCTGGAGCTATCCAGCCCTTCCTTAGGGATTTAGGGAGCTGTGGCTGCTCTTTAGAGGTGAGTGCTGCCAGGGAAAAGCTCGTGTGTGATCCACAGGTCACGCTCCAGCAAATCTGGCATCTCTCGGAGCCCGGTGTAACTCGCTCCCTGGCAGCGTGATCGACTGCTGGGTAATTTTATAGAATGGTTACCAATTCCAGTGATTTAGGGGCTGGTTTCCAGGACACTTGGGATGGCTGAATCCCAAGGCACCGAGCCTGCAGCTTTGCTCCAGCGCTGGGAGCTTGCATGGACGCAGGAGGCTGACCGCAGGCTGCTGTCCTGCCGCGAGGTGTTTGAGGACACGTTTGAGCAGTAGCGCTCTGCAGAGGATCACAACTCCTTCCAGAAGTTCTGAAAACCTGTTGGCTTTCAGGAATACTCTCTGAGCTCCCTTTAGTTAACGTAGACAAGCTTTTCTTTTTAAGAGCGTTTCATAATTCGATCTTCATGCAGTGCTCAAGCAGTGGCACGAGCGTTTTGCAACTGCCTTGAAATGGGAAGCATTTAATTGTTTGGCGTCTTGAGGGAGATGAGCTGCCCTCATGACTATTAAGAGGGCTGTGTCCCTGCAAGGCCGTTGCAGGCAGGTGAAGGCTGAGGAATGCTGTGCAAGAGGCTCCAGCACACGGGCAGAGAGCGAGCACACCCAGTTCTGAGGGACCCAGAGGCCGATGACTTCAAAAAGGGAAGAGGATGCTGCGGGGAAGGTGTGCCAAGGTCTGGATTCTGGGCTTTCTATCTGTGACTAAACACATTTCACAGCAGAGTTAGAGCTGTGCTGTGCAGCCCCAGCAGCGCAGTGGGATTTCATCAGACTTGAGAAAATAAGCGAGGCAGGGGAATTGAGTGTTGCCTCTTCTCCTGGGTAATTTTCCCACCTCGGGGCTTAGTGCAAGGTGCTGACTTGCAAATGACACATCATTACGAGGCCAGCCCAGAGCTGCAAAGCCCTGCTGGGAACGTGGTCAGGAGATCGGAGGAAGCTGCCTCTTGGACTTGGTTCCTCCCGGTGTGGGACCTGCTCTGGGAACATGTTGATTTAATTCCCACAAGTTGGTTCTCGGATGGTGCGAATAAAGCTGCTGACAGTGACTGAAATGGGATTCGACACTGGAGAACCTGTTAGGCTCAGTAAATGTAGGTCTGTTGGGAGGCTTCAAAGGGGTGTATTTTAAGCCACTTTTCCCCTCTCATCATCGATTTTGAATTTCTGGTAACTGGTTTTTATGAGGAGCGAGCAGAAGTTGACAATAAAGTCACAGAAAATGAAATGCACGAAAAGCCAGAGCTAATTATATTAAAAATGATGCAGGCATTCTCTTCCTGATTGCTCGTGTAAAAATCCTGTATTTGAGAAATGTTCTCAATGAGTTATGCACCAGGTTTAAAGCTGATGTGGCTTCTTTGATAAACTATGAACTATTGGAAAGATTTATAAGGGTCAGAAATGCTGCCAAATATTTCAGTATTTAGAGCAGCAGGAAACCACTCTGAGATATTTTTAAAACAGGTATTTACTCAAGTAATTGGTTACTTTTAATGTGGAATAAGGAAACCTGGTGCAGCTCTATTGGACTTGACATAAAAGTCAGGTATGTAATTTGTGAGCAAAACAGGGTGGAATGTACACATTGTACCTGGGGAGGTATTTCAAGAAAGACAACTCCTTGAGACAAAAAGCCAAAACAACTGACACGCCGGGTTACATGCCAGAATTGCTTATTCCTCAGTTAATCAGCTGTGTAATGAGTGTCCAGAAACAATCCCTTCTGCCCAGGTAGTTTAAGTTTCAAACTTCGTCAGCTTTGTGGCCATCATAAAATGGATTACATGGAAGTTGGATGAAAAACACATGTTTCTGAGAACATTTTGGTTCAAATAATAATAATAATAAAAAAATGTGGCAGTGCCTGTGCCAACAATTTACTACAGAATATCTGAACCAGATGCTGCTAAACTATAATTCCAAACAATTTGCCAGAATTATGTATTCACTTTATACTTAAAGTCAAACTGAAGATATGCATGTTTTCTATTACTGGTGGATATAAACAAAAATGTGATGCGATTACAACTCATATAAAGCAGATCATGCCCAACAGTCAGGATTTCTGAGACTACTACACGAGCTGAAGAAAAACTGGAAGTTCTGTTGGTAATTATGTGTGACAGGGTCA